GAATATGAGGAGATCTGATTGTGAATATGTTTAAAATATGTATTATGCTAGATTTAACATAGGGCAGTTGGATTATATGTGATTTCTATGTGTAAAAATGTTAACTTTTTATTTAAAAAATTTATTTGAATGGCTTTGTTAAAGATAGTGAAAGACAAATAGAGGACAAGAGAGAGATCTTCCATCTGCTGGTTTACTCTGCAAATGGTGAGAGAGAGACACACACACACAGAGATAGAGATATGATAGCTCTTTCATTTGCTGATTTGCTCTCCAAATGGCCTCAATGTGCAGCGCTGGGCCAAGCAAGTCAGAAGCCAGGAGCTTCATCCAGGTCTTCCTGTGCGCTACAGGAGCCCAAGCACATGGGCCATCTGCTGCTGCTTTTCCAGGCGCATTAGCAGTGAGCTGGATTGGAAGTACATCAGCTAGGATACAAACTCAACCAGCACTCATGGGATACCAACATTATAGCATTATAGGTGGTGGCTTAATGTACAGTGTCACAATGCTTTGTCCTGAACATACTAGCTTTTTAAAAATGTTTCTAATTTTTTTTTAAACATTCTTTTTTTTTTTTAATTTTTTTATTGGAAAGGCGGATATACAGAGAGGAGAGACAGAGAGGAAGATCTTCCGTCCCATGATTCACTCCCCAAGTGAGCCGCAACGGCCGATACTATGCCGAGCCGAAGCCAGGAGCCTCTTCCGGGTCTCCCACGCGGGTGCAGGGTCCCAAAGCTTTGGGCTGTCCTCGACTGCTTTCCTGGGCCACAGGCAGAGAGCTGGAAGGGATGCGGGGCTGCCGGGACTAGAACTGGCGCCCACATGGGATCCTGGGCGTGCAAGGCGAGGACCTTAACCACTTGTGCCATCGCGCCAGGCCCAAAAATGTTTATAATTTTTATAATATATTTATTTTTGATGATATTTACATAGTTAAGGATGCATAACTATGTGGACCACAGATTAGGGTGAGGAGGGTGAAGGAATGGGGTCAAGTCATTGAGAACTGTTTTTAATCCACCCCCCCCCTTTTTTTTTTTCTTCATATATCTGGGGAAAGTGAGGAGAGAAGAGGAGAGGGCCACTTCCAGCAACCAAGCTGCATCAGTACCCTGGGATGGAGGACAGCTAGCCAATATTATCCCAGGGTCCCTGATGTGGAGCATGTTTTGAGGGTACCACTCAAGTGGTTTTCATAATTTTGAGATGCTGTTGATTTTGTTGCTTCAAGGATGAGGAAATCCTTCCAAGGTCCATTGGCTGGCACAGTCCATGTTAGAAGTCTCCACTTTCCCAGATACTCGCTGTCAAGGCTTGGTTGGGGGAACTGTCCAGTTTGTTCTGCCCTCCATGTGCATCTGGGCATTCTGTCCACTGCACAGGCTTGAACAACCAGGGAGACCTGGTTCTAACACATGCACTCCGTGGTCAGACCACAGATCTTGCAGCTTTTCCTGTAGGTGGAGTCTTGACTCCAGTGGTCCAGATGCTGTCTGCTGACGTGCTTGTGTGTACCCTCCACTTATCTTTTTTTTTTTTTTTAAGGCAACAGTGCTGGCACACTGATCTAGTTAACACAAATTTGACATTAACCAGGCCCAGAATGCCCTCCAGCTATTAGCTGCTTTTCTTCCAGCACTGTAACCTACGCAGTTGCCTACAGCTAGGGCAGGTGTTAGCTTTTAAATATGAAAGAAATGTTGGTTATTTTATTTTCTGAGTTTTAAACAAGAAGTGCAAGGGAATGAGTAATGTTGACTTTGGATATCGAATCATGTGTGGAACAGGCAAGGCAGGACAGCCCCTTCCTGTGCTAAGGAACCAGGTCTTTGCTTGCAGAGGATTATTTCCTGTAATCTCCAGGTGCCACTTGCAGATTTGATTCTGCAGCAAGGTCAGATAAACTCAGGTACTGGAGTGCCAGTGTTTTGATGGGTGGGGGTCAGTTCCTGTAATGATTTCTTATTTCTGCCTTTATTTATAAGGGAAATGTTCTCCTGGGCATTTTTTTAGTTCCAGAGTTTTCATTGTGGCTATAGTCCTATAAGAGCTCAAGTGTTGTGCAGTGACGTTTTACACACTGCCTATCTTCTCTGTTTTTTACATCTAATCGTAACGTACATGAGGAAGGATTATATACCCACCCTTCCCTGCTTTAACTTTGAAAATACTGATTAGCTTCAAAATTAAGTATCAAATTTGTTATTTAATCTGATATTTTTTAACAACCTGGAGGAAATTATTGATAGTGATTAAGATATTTTTTGTTTAAATTATATATATATTGTTTTTAAAAATTTAAACATAGTAATCATTTTTTATTTATTTATTTTTTTAAAATTAATAACATTGTATTATGTGACACAGTTCCATAGGTACTGGGATTCCTCCCACCCCTCCTATAATCTTCCCCCATGGTGGGCTCCCCCACCCCGCTGCATAATCACAGTTCAAGTTCAGTTGAGATTCCTTCATTGCAAGCATATACCAAGCACAGAGTCCAACATCCTATCATCCAGACAAGTTCAACAGCCTTTTGAGGAAACCCTCTCTGGTCCGAATCATTTATTTTAATGAATGGTTAATATAAAGGTATATAAGGAATTCAAGACTTAACTTACTTGTTAGTGTCTATTGATTTCTGGTGATACTGAGTTTCTCTGTCTCTTTCTCTCTTTTCCGACAAAAAGTTCTTGTCCTCTGGCCCCCCTCCCCAAATGCCTGCAGTGGCAGGTACCAGAGGCAGGATCTGAGAATGCAATGCAAGATTGCAATATGGGTGGCCAGAACTCCGTTACTTGAGCCCTTGATACTTCTAGGGTCTGAGTTAGTGGCAAGCTGGACTCAGGAGCTGCAGCTGGGAATTGAACTCAGGCATTATACAATTTAGAACACAGGCCTGCTGCCAACTTTTTTTTTTTTTAAGATTTGTTTATTTTTATGGGAAAGAGGGATTTACAGAAAAAGGAGACACAAAGAGAAAGATCTTCTATCTCCTGGTTCACTGTTCAAATGCCTGCAATGACTGGAGCTGAGCTGGACTCAAGCAGGAACCAGGAGCCTGGGGCCCCTTCTGTGTCTCCCATGAGGTGCAGGGTCCCAAGGCTTTAGACATTCCCTGTTGCCTTCCCAGGCCACAGCAGGAAGCTGGATAGGAAGTGGAGTACCCGGAACATGACGTGGGGCTCACCTGGGACCAGCACTTATAGATTGAAGGTTAGTCAGTTAAGTTATTGTGTCAGCCCCTAGAGCTTGGGTTTTACTAGTAATAAAAGAAACAGTCCCTTGCTTCCTGTGGGCCTTCCTTGGGAGTAAAAAAAAAAAAAAGTCCCTTATTTGTGTAATTTCTGATGTTGCTAATTCAATATTGGTATAACCTGGAAAGAACATTTTGTGAAAGAAGTGTTCAAGTTTAAACAGAGGAGCTGAAGTCCTAAAGTATCATCAAAATTATTCTTTGCATAAACAAACACTATGTTATTAAAGTTTATTTCAGAAACTAAAGAGTTGGGTCCGGCACAGTGGCTTAGTGGCCTTGCATGTGCCAGGATCCCATATGGGCGCTGATTCTAATCCCGGTGGTCCCGCTTCCCATCCAGCTCCCTGTCTGTGACCTAGGGAAGCAGTTGAGGACGGCCCAAAGCTTTGGGACCCTGCACCCATGTGGGAGACCTGGAAGAGGCTCCTGGCTTCAGATTGGCCCAGCTTTGGCTGTTGCAGCCCTTGGGGGAGTGAATCAACGGATGAAAGATCTTCCTCTCTGTCTCTCCTCTGTATGTCTGATGTTCCAATAAAATATTAAAAAAAAAGAAGAAGAAGAAACAAAAGAGTTCATGACCTGAAAACCTGTTAATGAATTAACAGACTAAAGAGGAAGCATCCTAGATAATGTCAATAGATGTAGAGCAAACACTTGATAAGATTCAGTGAGCATTTATGATAAAAGCTCAGAGTAAACCAAAAGGGAGCTTTATTAACCTGATAAAAACTGCTTGTTTCTGGATCAAGATGGATTATTCTCTGTTCCTTCTGCTAAAAATAGCTAAATCCTTTGCACTTTATATATGAAACTAACATAGGAAGATTCTCTGTGAAAGGCACAGAGATCAAAAACTGATTAGGGACCTCTGTATATCCGCCTTTCCAATAAAAAAATAATAAAAATAAATCTTTTAAAAAAATAGGTATTATGAAGGTTAGTCTATACCTTATTTTTCTCTAACAGTATATATATATATTTTTTTTTTTTTTAAAAAAGATTTATTTTATTTTTATTGGAAAGGCGGATATACAGAGAGGAGAGAGGAAGGATATACAGAGAGGAAGATCTTCCGTCCCATGATTCACTCCCCAAGTGAGCCGCAACGGCCGATGCTATGCCGATCAGAAGCCAGGATCCAGGAACTTCTTCCGGGTATCCCACACAGGTGCAGAGTCCCAAAGCTTTGGGCCGTCCTCCACTGCTTTCCCGGGCCACAGGCAGGGAGCTGGATGGGAAGCGGGGCTGCCAGGATTAGAACAGGCACCCATATGGGATCCCGGGCGTGCAAGGTGAGGACTTCAGCCACTAGGCCATGCCGCCGGGCCCCTAACAGTATATTTCTGAGTACAATTCCATATTAATAAATTGCTAACATAGGTACATGTCATTTCGTTATGAAATGTTAAAATAATTTAATGTTTAACCCACTGCCTGATATTTTATTCTGCTAGACATTGCTTCAGAGAATTACTTGATACCTGCCTTGTGCATCTGTGGAATTATGGAATAGGTTTCCATGTGTGATTGCTGGGGGGAATTTGTTTTTCAGTTTTGGTAATCTTTATTGAGATATAATTTATATGCACTTACATTTGTCAATGTTAAGTGTACTGTTAGAGTTTTCACAAATAAATGTAGTCCTATAAATACCAGTGTGGTTACAGAACAGTTCTGCCACTGGTTAAGCAAAACAGATTTGCAAAAATTTATGATATCTTTTTCTCTCTTACAGTTAAAAGAGCCAAATTCCAGGGTTCTCCAGGTAAGCCCCGCCTTCTGTTATGATGTCCTTTCTCCCTTTCCTCTTGTGATTAAAAAATTTTTAATTACATCAAATTCACTTAATTTAAATTGAATTAAATATTTTATCTAATTAGTGATTTCCTTCAGCAGCCCCTTAGCTACTAAATTATGAAGTTACTAATTAAAGTCAATGTTATTATAAAATATTAAATTTGTGTCTTTTATCTCTAGTGAAAAGTTAATTTTCTTTCCTTATGGCTAATCCAGTTCTATTTCTCAGTAGTTACTGTTTAGAGCTTTTAATAAATCTTCTCAGACTTTTTTGTATATATGTGTATATGTATACTGCATACATATATGTGCAACTTGTTTTTCCAAAACATGAAGATCTGTGTGTATCTAATTCTTTCTTTTAAGATACTGTGTACACTTTTGTTCCAGATTTGTACTGTAGGTCCCTGTTGAATGAATGCTCAGGTTTCCATGTTTTTGCTGTTATAAGTGATGAATGTTGTTATGCTTTTATCATTGCCCGATGTTACAGGCGTGTCTGTGTGCTAGAGTCCAGGACACACTTGCAGGGTCAAGGGTATATATGTAAAACACTTGCTAGTTACTGCCAAATTACTCTTCTGCCAAAAATCTTTTTTGAGGATTATTTATTTTTACTTGGAACTTAAAGTTACAGGGGCAGAGAGAGAGAGAGAGAGAGAAAATCTGTCTGCTGGCTTGCTCCCCAAATGGCTGCAACAATTAGATCTTGGCTGGTCCAAAGCCAGGAACCAGGAACCACTTCTGCATCTCCTATGTGGGTGCAGGGGTTTTTGGGCCATCCTCTGCTGCCTTCACGGGCTATAAGCAATAGAAGTGGCATTAGCCAGGACTTAAACTGGTGCCCATTGGGATGCCTACGTTGCAGGTGGAGGATTAGTGTGCTATACTACTGCATGGGCCCCTCTTCTCAAAGTTTTTACTAGATTATACTGATACCAAGTGTATGAGTATTTGTTTTTTCAAATCCTTATCAACTTTATATATATTTAAAACATTTTTTCCCATTTGCAAATGAAAATGGTATCCTCTTAATTAGTACTTCCTCAGTGGTGAATGTCAAGTTACAAAGATTCTGGTTACTGCTGAGCAAAGGAGGAGGTAGCTGGTGGAGTTACTGAGAAAACGTGAACATGCTTTGGGCCCAGGATAACCTGAAAAACTGGACTTGGTGCAACAGGAACTGAAATAGTTTCTGAGCCTACTGCTCCAACTCCTGGTTCTGAGCTATGGCTTTTTGCTCAAAGTCTGCTGTTTTCCATCTTGACCCCATCTCATAGCTACTCCAGGAAATTGGTTTGCCCCACCTGCAGTCAGTGTCTCTCTTTTCCCACCCTTTTAAAATCTTTTGAGAGGGAGTCACGTTGATCTCCGCTTTGGACCAGTCCTGGGAGTGGCTGTCTACAGTCGGCCCTGTCAGCTGAGTGTGGCTGGTTGGGGGCGAGGTGATGGAGGCTGAGATCATGCGTTAGACTAACTAGCTCAGTGGTCTGCATTACTACAAGTTGAGAGGGATGGGTATGAATGGGCTTTTAACCTCATAGGTAGTTAGTGTAATTTTTAAAAAAGTAGTAGAACCATTAAGACTTAGGTAAAGGTGTACTGCCCTCCACAGTTTTTTTTTTTAAGTGTTATTTATTTTTATTGGGAAGGCAGATTTATGGACAGAAGGTGATACAGAGAAAGGTCTTCTGTCTTTATCTGCTGCTGGTTCACTCCTCAGACGACTGCAGTGGCCAGAGCCGAGCTGAACTGAAACCAGGGGCCAGGATCTTCTTCGAGGTCTCCCTGATAATGACCTGAGAAAGCAGTGGAAGATGGCCCAAGTCCTTAGGCCCCTGCACTCACATGGAGGAACTGAAAGATGCTCCTGGCTTCAGATTGGCCCAGCTGTGCCTGTTGTGGCCATTTGGGGAGTGAAGCAGCAGGTGGAACATCTCTGCTTCTTTTTCCTCTCTTACTATGCCTTTCAAATACATTTTTCCCCTCCAAAAACAAGGGTTAGTGCAAAATATGCTGTTGAAGTTATAGATCAGACTTGTGAACTTTAAATTTCAGGTTATCACCTTTGTTTAATTCTCCTGTTGTAGTCTGAGGTTTGAAAACGTCTCTTTCTCATTGTTTGATAGTGTGTAACTTGCACCTTGAGTCAGATCAACTAGATAAAATCTGAAATCCACCTAGATAAAAATAAAAATCTGTTTTCCTCAGTTCATTTCTCTGTCAATAGCTCTGCATTTATCTCTTTCCACAGCTTAATAAATTTACGTGTCTTTCTTCCTTCATCAGTTCTATTTTTCCAAGCTGCTTGATGGACTATAAAATCAATTTAGCATATTGCAATTAACATTTTAATAGCTTAGACTAGGAAACAGTAGTGTATCCCTCTGTTTTTAGATTGTTTATTTGAGTGGCAGAGTAATGGGGAAGGGAGAGGAGGAGAGAGAGAGAGAAAAGATACCTTACACCTGCTGGCTTACTCCTCCAATGACTGAGACACCCAGGGCTGGGCCAGGCCTGAGCAAGGAGCTGCTCACTCTATCCTGTCCTCCTCTGTGGGCCATCATTTGTTGCTTTCCCAGGTGTGTCAACAGGAGGCTGAATTGAAAGCAGAGAAAAAAAAAAAAAGAAAAAAAAAAAAAAGAAAGAGCAACTGGGACTCAAATTAGCGCTCACATATAGCATGCCCACGTGGCAAGCTGGCTGCTTAACATGCTGTGCCACAAGGGCAGCCACACTGTAGCCAGCGACTTGTGTTTCTGAAGCCTTTGTTTTTGTGTGTCTCTGCGTTTATTCCAGTAGGTCATATATAATATGTATTTCTTAAAATTTGAAAGAAATGCTGCTTTTTAGCTTATTCTCTTGAAGATAGGGTAGTTTTTTTTTTTTCTTTCTTTTTTTTTTGGTGCAACTCTGGTACCTTGAATGAGACTGTATTATACAACGTAAAGTGTCATTTTTTTCTTTCGTATGCAATATTTTGATTAGGGTGTGACTTTATTCCAAGGGTCTTGTGAGATTGGGTAATGCTCTGAGCACTGTTAATATTAATTTTGCATTTTCTCAGAGAAATTCAACACATACGTGACCCTGAAAGTGCAGAATGTGAAGAGCACAACTGTAGCAGTCCGTGGTGATCAGCCTTGCTGGGAACAAGATTTCATGTTGTAAGTACTCGGCAGCGGCCGTATGCCTGCATGTGCTGTAATCTTGCCAAGGTGATTGCTTGGATACAGCGAAGACTGTGTGGATGTCTAGGGTTTGTAAGATGTACTAACATTGTTAAGTATTCTTTTGAGCACTGCTGTTCAAGGAACAAGAGAGAGATGTGGTAGGTAAAGTACATTCACAGTGTGTGTGTGTGTTTGTATTTTTGTTTTGTATTGGAAAGGCAGATTTATAGAGAGAAAGATTTTCCTTTCACTGGTTCACTTCCCATTGCTCCTGGCCCCAATTTTTTTTTTTTGTAATTAATTTATATGAAAGTTAGAGTTAGAAAATGGGAAAGAGAAAGGGCTTCATTTTTTTTTAAAGGATTTGTTTATTTTTATTGCAAAGTCAAATATACAGAGAGGAGGAGAGAAGGAGAGGAAGATCTTCCGTCCGATGATTCACTCCCCAAGTGGTTGCAGTGATCTGAGCTAAGCCAATCTGAATACTGGAGCCTCTTCCAGGTCTCCCACACAGGTGTAGGGTTCCAACGCTTTGGGCCGTCCTCGACTGCTTTCCCAGGCCAGAAGCAGGGGGCTGGATGGGAAGTGGGGCTGCTGGGATATGAACCGGCGCCTGTATGGGATCCTGGCACATGCAAGGCAAGGACTGTAGCCACTAGGCTACCATTGCCTGGTTCGTCCTTTCCTTTCCCTTTCCCTTTCCTTTTTTAAATTGGAAAGGCAGATAAACAGAGTAGGAGAGACAGAGAGGAAGATCTTCAGTCTGATGGTTCACTCCCCAAGTGACCTCAATGGCTGGAGCTGAGCCAATCTGAAGCCAGGAGCCAGGAGCTCTTCCAAATGGGTTCAGGGTCCCACGGCTTTGGGTCATCCTCGACTGCTTTCCTGGGCCACAAGCAGGGAGCTGGATGGGAAGTGGGGCTGGCGGGATTAGAATAGATGCCTATATGGGATCCCGGTGCATGCAAGGTGAGGACCTTAACCACTGGACTATTGCACTGGGCCCATTCTTTTTAAACATTTTTTTAAAAAGATCTACTTTTTTGTAAAGGTTATGTTTCTCCCTGCCGGGTACACCTCCTGCTAGTGAGCACGAGAAATAGGGCTGGAACAGGTTAGACCAGGCTGAACTTCAGCACCCGTTGGCATTTAAGTGAGCTTGGTCTAGGGGCAGGCCAGGCAGGGTGAGTCCACATTGAACACTGGTATGAGAAAGAATCAGAAACAAGGTGCAAGCCCGGGCAGATTGGACTAAAACACCTGCCAGTTCACATGAGGGCTGGAGATGGGCCAGGCTAAGTCAGGCTGTGGCACCTGCTGGTGAATTCTGGGACGGGAGTGGACCATCTCAGACTTTGCTGCAGCACTCCCAAGATCTAGGTCTGGGAGCAGGCCTGATAGAAGAACTTGGGAACTCCCTTGCTGGGCTGTTGATTCCACTAATGAGCATGAGAACTGGGGCTGGAGTGGGCTGTTCTGTGGGCCAGTCAGGCCTGACTACACTACTGCAACCTCTGGTTTGCCTGAGAGTCAGAATGGGTGTGCCCCACCTGAGCTAGGTCACAGTACCAGCTGACAAGTGCTAGGGCTGGGTGCAAATCATGTTAGGCTGGACCACAGTACCCTCTGGCAGGTGCATGCTCGAGGGGTGGGAGCAAAGCATTCCCCTGTTAGATTGTAATTATTGCTGGGGAGCACAAGAACCAGGACTAGGAGTGAACCAGGGCAAGGTGTTGTCACCAATTGGCATATATGAGGGTTGCATTTGGGGCTAGTTGGGCTGAGCTAATCCTCAGCAATCATGGGTGTGTACAGAGCAGGATGGAATACCAACTGGGCATGGCTAGGCCACAACTGAGACTGGCATGTGCAAAATCCGGGGTTTTCGGTGTCCCTGGTGGATTATTGGGGTTCAACTAGTCCAGAGCACCTGCTGGTATGCATGAGGATTGGGTCTGTGGCAGACTGGTTGGGTTGGCCACAGGACGTATCAGTTTGCGAGAGAAATGGAGCTGGGGCAGAACTGAACGGGCAGAACTGAACAGGCGGTTGCATCCACTGATATGTGTGTTGGCTGGCACAGGTAACAGAATAAATATGACCCTTCACAGACTGGCACATGTAAGAGTCAAGTCTGGGGTCATCCTTGGTGAGGTTTCTTTGTGAGGTCCGCCGCTGGACCACTGGACTCTGATCCTGGCCACAGGGAGAAATCACAGAATGTGTTGTCTAACCTTGGAGTACACGTGTTGAAACTGAGCCCTCACAGTTACTGATGCCTGTTCAGTGGAGAGTATAACCAGATGCACATGGGGGACATGGTGGCCAGGTTATTTGGGCCAACAGGGGATGACAGCCATCTCATTAGGGGATGGAAAGCAGAAGAGATTTGACCACTTTCTTGGCCAAGCTATGCAATATTTTTTTGGGTCTGTGGATTCAATCAGGAGGATTTTTGTTAGGCCTTAAAAAGATTTTTTCAACCTTGGAGCAATGAAACTGACAGCAACTCAAAGCTATCAAAACCACTTAAAGTGACACCCTTAGAACACTCTTCCCCACATTGAGGTCTCCAGGGCATCAACAAAGGACCTTTTCCTATCCCTGGGTGCTGATGTAGTTTGTCAGCAAGGAGTGGCCATCTCTCCCTGCTTTTTTCTGGACACAGGGGAAAATGAAACACATGTCTCACTCCCCTTCCTCCATACCAGACCCTCCCTGCCCCATTCGGAGGTCCACATGGGCATATATTCCTCTAACTATGTAAACAATATTAAAAATGAAATAAAAAAGAAAGTGAAAAAAGATTATTAAGTGCTTTGGATGTATGAGCAGTGTAAAAGTGTACCTTTCAGAAAAAAAAAAAGAAAAAAAAAAAAGGAAATACGTTAACACAATGAATGGAGAGCAAAGGATATATATATATATATGATATTGAGGTTGAACCCGAAGATCTGCTTGGATGCTTGGGTAGGTAGGATAGAGTATTAATGTAAGCTCAATGATGGACAAGCATGTTTTTGGGATATTTACAGGGCTGGAAGGAAGAGAGGTTCAAAAAGCAGTTTGACATTCAAAACTGGCTCACAGGGAAGAATTCTGGTTTGGATAAATATTTCCATCAATTCAAGCTATAGGTGGAGATGAGGAAGCAGAGAGAGAGGATGACAGAGAAATTGAGATTGTATATGGTTAGAAAAGTTCATGGGGTGGAGCCCAGCATTTATAAAGGGGACAAAAGAAACTAAAAAGGGATGAAGAGGAGAGCCAGTTGGTGTCATGGAAACCAAGGGAGAACTGAAGCTTCAAGAAGAAACATAGTGGGGATGGGCATTTGGCACAGTGATTCAGGCAGCACTCATATTGCCATCCTTTCTCCTGTTCATGATTCTGCTTCCTGGTAATGTATCGAGAACTCAAACGTGTGGGTCTCTGCCATGCACATGGAGACCAAATGGAATTCCAAGCTCCTGTTTTTGTCTGACTCAGTCATGGCGGTTGCACACATTTGAGTACACAGAAGGTCTCTTCCTATACTTTGGGTTTAGCTTTACTGTGTACCTGGTACTTTGCGGTAGATACATAGTACAGAACTCAGTTCTTGTCTCTGAAAGCTTGTAAGCTAGATGGAAAGCTACTCAAAGCTACAAAGTAGGTGAGTAGCCTGGCCACATTACCATACAGTTCCATCTATGGTGTGTAAACCTTGTGATCCTGCTTTTTTCTGATTTCTGATTGGCTGTCCCAGCCACTTACTGTCTAACTCCCCCATGTGGAACACGGTGATCTGCAGCCCCCACTCCTATAGCTAGCTTTGTTCTTAGGTGTTTATTTTCCCATAACACTTCCTTTCCAGCCCTTCTGCTGTCTGCATGAATTTTCTTCCCTGTCTTTCACATTGAGCTGTGTGAATTTTACCCTCTCCCCATTTTCACATGAGTTTTATTAGCTGTTTTAGCTAGCTGTCTGTTCTTCCTTCTTCTATCCTTTCCTTTTTTCATTGGTAAATTCATTACTAATTGCCTCTTTCTCTTTTGTGTTAGGTGGCAGTTTCATTCATTTTGGCATTTCTCATACTATTTACTTTTAATATTTCTTTTTTAAAAAAACTTTTTTATGATATAGTTCCTTAGGCTATGAGATTTCCCCTTCCACTCCCAGCCTCCCCACAACCCTTGTTTTCCCCTATGTTACAGCAATAGTTAAGACCTGCAACAGCAGTCACAAGTCCATCATTCTTCTATTTAGTATATCACGGTAGAAAATCCAGCATTCTATTCTCAAGATATATTTAACAGTTTAATTGGGAGTCCGTCTTTTATTCAGAAGTAGAGATGCATACTGTAGTGTATTTCCACTTTCATAGTATACTTGCCTTCATTATGCGTTTCTGTATATTTTCAGGACTAGATTGTTTATTTTCTTTTTTTTTTTTTAAAAAGATTTATTTATTTATTGGAAAGTCAGATATACAGAGAAGAAGAGAGACAGAGAGGAAGATCTTCCGTCCGATGATTCACTTCCCAAGTGAGCGCTACGGCCGATGCTATGCCGATCTGAAGCCAGGAGCCAAGAACTTCTTCCAGGTCTCGCACTCGTGTGTAGGGGCCCAAAGCCTTGGACCGTCCTCAACTGCTTTCCCAGGCCACAAGCAGGGAGCTGGATGGGAAGTGGGGCTGCCGGGATTAGAACCGGCGCCCATATGGGATCCTGGTGTGTTTAAGGTGAGGCCTTTAGCCGCTAGGCCACGCTGTCGGCCCCCCTGATTGTTCATTTCTTAAAGAGGTCATTTGTACATCCTGATGTGAGTTTGTTCGGCTTGTAGTCTTGTGTATACATGTACATGTTTATGCTTGATTGAGTTGATTAACAATAGAAACTTCCACTTCCAATAGTTTGCTTGTGTTCTCCTGCCCCCTCCGGGGGGAAGCGTGTGTGTGAGTGTGTGTGTGTGTGTGTGTGTGTGTGTGTGTGTGTGTGTGTGAAAACTCAGCATAAAATCTACCCTCTTAACTTTGTTTGAAAGGCAGTGCAACATAGAGAGAGGATGAGACAGAGGCGGAGAGATGTTTTGGTTGCTTCCCTCCACAAATGATTACAACAGCTAGTGGTGTGCTGGCAGAAGCCAGGGACCAGGAACTTTGTACTGGTTTTTTAATGTAGGTGGTAGATGCCTGAGTACTTGGGACATCTACTACTGCCTTCTCAGGTACATTAGCATGGGGTTGGATCAGAAGTGGGTCAGCTAGGATGATACTGGCATTATGATCTGGAATGCCAGTTTTGCAAGGAGTGGATTAATACAACACTAGTCCCCTGTGAATAAATGTTTAACTGCACAATGCTTTACTGTGACCGCTAGGCATTGTTGCATGGTAGATTTCTAGAACCTATTCATCTTATATAACTAACGAAGGAATTTTTCTATGAATACTTTACGTAAGTTTCTAGAAACCTAAGAAATGATTGCATCATTATAGGTCATTTGGTTTTTCCTAAAGATCATGTTTAGAACATATTCAAGGTTTAGTAGAACAGGATATTTAGAAGTTTCTTTTATATATCTGCCCTTTCCTCAAAATGATTTTCTTTTTCCTTAGTGAGATTAATCGTCTGGACCTGGGTCTGAGTGTGGAGGTATGGAACAAAGGTCTGATCTGGGACACCATGGTGGGCACTGTGTGGATTGCACTCAAGACTATTCGCCAGTCGGATGAGGTATGTTTGCTACCAGTTAGATTGTATGGTTTTAGCCCCATTTCCACCATCTTAGCTCCATTTCAACTGCTGTTCATCCATGCATCTTAGATTACTAGAAAGAGAACTTTCTAGTTAGAGTACATGAAACCTGTCCATTCCTACCTAACCTTAGCCAGAGGACAAGGGGATTTTAAGTCTGATCTTCCCTATGTCCTATGACAAAACTGAGATAGGTCAGTGCATATGAGTGTGTGTGTGTTTACCTGCAGGTAGGTTGCTGCATGTCGGTGTGTGTTTGTTTACCTGCACGTAGGTTGCTGCATGTCAGTGTGTGAGTGTACCTGCAGGTAGGTCTCTCCATGTGCATGTGAGTGTGTGTGTATTTGCTTGCAGTTAGGTTGCTGCATGTCAGTGTGTGAGTGTACCTGCAGATAGGTCTCTCTATGTGAGTGTGTGGGTTTACCTAGGTTACCTGTTGCTACCCAGGGACGAATCTTAGTAGACTTCTGTAATCAATTATCTGAATGCTGTTTTTTGTTTTGTTTCTTTCAAGTACCAATTGCTTGGGAACAGGTAACCCTAATGAGTTTCAGAAACTACCCAGTTTGACCCAGTTGGTATTCACAGTGTTGCTGTACGTTATTTTGAGTTCTGAAATGCCATCCCATTTCCTAAATTAAACCATATGTCAGATAGCATCGTTTTCCGCTCAGTCACTTTGGATATGGACAGAATCTAGTATATTCTTATTGGGTTAACCTAGGCCATGGGTTTTCTCTGGGAGTGGGTGAGTTAAAAATCTTTTCTCTACATTTTTGTGCTTCTCTATTGTTCTGAGTCTTTACTCCCCATAGCAGGCGAGGAGTTAATTTTCACTGCAACCTTGGTTCAGTTATATTTAACTGTAATGTTAGTAACACTTTACCAGTTAGAAGCAGTAACATGTGTCTTTAGCTAACACAGTCATTAGGAATTGTGCAAATTAAGTATTGATGGTATGGAGGTGTCTGCTCTTGGAGGTTGCTGCTCGTCCTGGGGCTTGCAGGAGGCTGGGCACAGTGCAAGCTGTCCTCCCCTTGAGGAAGAGGACAGGGGCCACATGCAGCAGAGGCCTGGGGTCGCAGCGATGTGCTTGCCTCCTCACGATCTGCATGGGCCTCAGCAGCTTCAGAGAGAAACTCTTAGTGCTCAACAAGAGCAGAGGCAGCACAGACTCAAGTTGAACCTTTGATCTTTGTTTCCTAGGAAGGGCCTGGGGAGTGGTCTACTTTGGAGGCAGAAACGTTAATGAAAGATGATGAGATCTGTGGAACAAAAAACCCAACTCCTCACAAAATTTTGCTTGATACGAGATTTGAGTTGCCTTTCGGTGAGTCCATTTGAGCAGGTTTTAAAACTTGTTGACATTTGTTAGCGTATTGTTCGAACTTGTTTACTGGATGTCTCGTTAATGTGTCTTCTGTCTCTTGGCCGTCTCTTTTGAAGGCATTTTGGCTTCACTCCCTGTGTTTGTGTTTCACCCGATGCAGGACATAACACAAAGTATATTCTAGAATGGTGCTTTTTTTTTAAGATTTGTTTATTTTTAATGGAAATGCACCCAAATTTTTTCTTCTTTAGCTTTTTATTTATTTGAGAGGGATTTAGGAGGAAGAGGAGATGACAGAGAGAGAAAGAGAGTATACAGCGAGCTCTTCCACCTCCTGGCTTATTTCCTAAATGCCCCTTATGGGTAAGACTGGGCAGGGCTGAAGCCAGGAGCCAGGGTTGGTGAATTATTCTACACCAGAGCATATAGACCTGTAGCAAAAGCAGCAGAAAGTTCTCCCATGTGCTGATTCACTCCCCAAATGGCTACAGTGGCCTGCGCTGAGCTGATCCAAAGCCAGGAGCCAGGAGTTTCTTCTGGATCTCCCATGTCAATGGGGCCCAAGGTCCAAGGACTTGGGCCATCCTCTGCTTAGACTTCTACGCCATGGTGCTGGCCCCTTAAGTCTAATGTTTTTTCATTTATTGAGTCACTAAATCAGTATTTGGTCATTTCATACTGATTAAGTTTAAGGGCATAGGGTTTGAAAAATGTTAAAAACATTTATTTGAAAAGTAGAGAGCCTAAGAAGGGTGGTGTGGGGAGAGGGCATGGCTATGTGGAGGAAGGAAGAGGACAGATTATTTTTATCCGCAAGCTTATTCCCCAAATGCCCACAGCAGCTGGGGCTTGGCTGGGCTGAAACCAGGAGCCTGGAAGTCGATTCAGGTCTGTTGTACAGGTAGCAGGGACCTAAATACTTGAGCCATCATCTACTGCCTCCAGGTTGCATAGTAATTGGAAGCTGGAATTGAAAGTGGAAACACTGATATGGGTATCCCAGTGGTGTCTTATGCCAAACATCCTCCTAGATTTTTACAGCTTTTTAAAAAAATTTCTAGTGGTCATCAAAAATATATAGCTTATAATGTAGCCTCTTGGGGCCTGCATGGTTTCTCAACAGGTTAATCCTCTACCCACAAGCGCTGGCATCCCATATGGGCACCAGTTCGTGTCCCAGCTGGTACACTTCCAACCTAGCTTCTTTCCTGTGGGCTGTGAAAGCAGTGGAGATGACTCAAGCTCTGGGCATCTGCACCCATGTAGCAGACACAGAAGAAGCTCCTGGTCTTGGCTTTGGATTGGCTCAGTTCTGGCCATTGCATTCATTTTGGAGAGTGAATCAGTGGATGGGAGATCTCTCTGCTTCTCCTGTCTGTAAATCTGCCCTAACAATTGAAAAAATCTTAAAAAAAATTCTAGTATTTTAACCATTTTAAAGATACAATCCAGTTGTATTAAATGTTTTCACACTGTTGTGCAATACCTTTCCCACAGCTTTTCCTGTTGTAAAACTAGAACTCTTATTGAAACAAAACAGAATAAAACAAAACGTAACAAAACTCTCCAGTAGCTCTTTCTCCAGCCATGCCAGTCACCACCACTCCACCTTGTTTCTGTGAATTTCTGTATTTTACATACCTTATATAAGCAGAAGCATATGATATTTGTCTTTTTGTGATTATTTCACTTAGCATAATGTCTTTGACATTCATCTGTATTGCCACTTGCGACAGAATTTCCCTCCTTCTAAAAACAAATTAATGTTATTTTTGCATATACAAGTTTATGAAAAATACAACTCATTTTAATTCCTGGTTTTGGAACTTTTTGAAATACCTTTGTGTAACCACTTTATCCATTCATCTGTTTTTGGATATTGTGTTACTAGTTATCAGCTGGGTGTCTAAATATGTCTGATCATGTTTTCAGTTCTTTAGGATATACTGGGAAACTTCAAAAAGTTAACAGAAAATGAAAGTATTGATAAGCTTATTTTGGTGTAAAAATTTTTAAAGCTCATGCATTGTTTTTCAAAATAGTTCTTTTCCTACAAACTTTCTGAATACCTCTGGCCTAACCAGAAGTGGGCTGTCTGGATCAAGTGGTAATTTTATTCATAAATTTTTTGAAGACAAAAAACGTTGCTAGTTTTGCATATTTCAGTATTTTTTTTTCTTTTAGGCTTTTATGGTCCTATTCATTTGTTTATTAAAAATGAAAACCTCCTGCTGCAGTAGGAGTGGGGCTCCAAGAGAGGAAAGACCCCAAGATTTATTCATTTTTATTGAAAAGACAGACTTACAGAGAAATCTCTTCCTTCTACTGGTTCACTCCTCAGATGACCTCAGTGGCCAGAGTTGAGCTGATCTGAAGGCAGGAGCCTTAAGTTTCTTTCTGGGTCTCCCGCATGGGGACAGGGTTCCAAGGGCTTGAGCCATCCTCTGCTGTTTTCCCAGGCTGTAGGCCAGGAACTGATTGCAGTGCGCATATGTGAGGCTAGGGCTACAAGGTAGAGAAATAGCCAGTGGAGCCATTGTACTGACCCTAACTATATGGTAGCAAGGTTACATAGAATGAATGCAGTTTTTGAAATCACACTGAGCACTCTAAATTATGGCTCATTAATTTATGAACTGAGTGACCACAGCAGATGATTTGGCTTCTCTGAGCTTCTTTTTCCTCAACAGTAGGAATAGTAATAGTGTGTTGGTTTTCTGAAAATTGAATAAAACGTTAATGGTAAGAACCAGATTACCAATAAAAGTTGGGCATCTCTATTACTCTTCTGACTGGTCATTTGACTGAATAAAATGGTATTTGCTGAGATTGACATGTTGCCTACTGATACAGATTTTTTTTTTCCTGTTAGATATCCCAGAGGAGGAAGCCAGATATTGGACCTACAAATTGGAACAAATCAATGCCTTAGGAAATGACGATGAGGTAGGAATGGTTTCTATTTCCCATATGGAAAGATGTGGAAAATCTCTGGTACATATTGGAGATTGTCTAGGAGGTTCCCAAAGGCATGATGTCCTGAAGAATGGAAACAATTTAAATTGCATGAGATAAAAACAGCTGTACATCTGCCTGAAATTCCACTAGAGGGCTTCATCTCCCACTTTTCCTGTTTCCCTTACTGGCCCGGTGGTGCTTGGCTGGCTCTAGATTGTTGAGGAGGTGGCTGGTAGCAGGGAATCTGTCCTTTGTTATATAACTGAGCAGAAGGCATTTATTCTGCTTCTTCTGAGATTATCTTTATTTGCCTACTGTAGATTTTAGTATTATCTTTATTTGCATGCTTGGTCTTGTTGTCACCTTCAGGAATGATTTTAGTGCACAGAAGATAACAGTCAACTCCAAGCCTCAGGAAAATCAGAAATTAGAAATGTTTTTGTTATTGGTATTGGTGGGAAAAGGTGATCAATTTGTTTCCTTTTGGACATGCTGAGTTATGAAAATTTGCGCCTGAATTTAAGGTAGAGTTTGTGTGTAAAGGATCTTTTGATGGAAACATCTGGCAAGGAACTTCTCAAGAGAATCTGAAGTTCAAGGTTGAATGGGGTAGGGAGCTGTAGGCAGAGTTTGGATTCTTTAGCATGATGGTAGCAAGTGAAGTCAGAGGTTAAGTGTGCTGAGGTAGAGCATGTAGAGGAGGTTGAAGAACGAGGAAAAACATCCAAGACTCCTGTGAAAATGAGAGACTGAGAAAGAACTTTTTGAAAGAGAGTGGGAGAGCCAAGAGAAAGTTCACGGAACAGAGGAAAAAGAGATTCTGCATGGATATTCTCCATCATCTCACATATCTCACTTCATCTCTGAAGTGCAGCCATTGGACTTGATCAATGATGAACTAGACCAGTACAAGAAGCCCTGTGGAGTGGGGTTTCTGCGTGTACTAGCTTTCAAGCCCTCTCAGAACAAAGGACCAGAATCTGATGAGTTCCAACAGATGAGATGTTTTCTATCACAGTTCTGCATGCTAGGAGTCTGAGACCAAGGTGTCAGTAGGGTCTCCTCAGTCCTTCCAGGAGTGCTGAACAACACATCCTCTATCTCCTGGCTCTCATGGTTGCTGGCAGTCCTTGGCCTGTAGATAAACTGTTGTAACCTCTGCCATTGTTGTCATATGCCTCCTTTCAAATTCATATTTATATTTATAAAGATATATATATATATATCTTTAAAGATTTATTTATTTTTATTGAAAAGTCAGATATATAGAGAGGAGGACAGACAGAAAAATCTTCCCTCTGCTGATTCACTCCCTAAGTGGCTGCAAAGACTGGAGCTGAGCCAATCCAAAGACATGAGTCAGGAACCTCCTCTGTGTTTCCCACGTGGGTGCAGGGACCCACGATTTTGGACAGTCCTCTACTGCTTTCCCAGGCCATAAGCAGGGAGCTGGATTCAAATTCCCATTCTTACAAATGCACCAGTCGTTAGATTAATTTGGCTGCATCTGCAGTGAATTTGCCTCTAAATGGACATCACATTCATAGGTACTTAGTGCATGAATTTCAGTATGTCTTTTTGGGAGGTCAAGTTCAGCCCACAGAGAGTTAAATGCAGGGTGAAGAGATGGAATTCTGGATCACCCTCTTCAGTTTTCCCTTACCTTAGCCTAATTCTTTGTGGACTTTTGTTGAGCTTCACTAATTCTTCTTATGCGCAAGCCAACACTCTGCTTTGCTTTATTGAAATTTCTGGTCTGTCTGACCTTTTTGATAGCTGCCAACTTTCGCTCGATTCTTATGTCTGCTTTACCCTTTATGTTACTGTTCATCTCCAGCCTAATGGTGGAGTGGGTACAGCCTTTCAACTTCTCATCATCTTTGGATTTTATAGACTTTATTGTGTGTCACTGTGCAGAATCAGATGAAGGGGTTAACACATCTAAAAGCCAAATGTAACTTTATAGGTTCTAATAATAGTAATTCTTTTAAAAACTAAAGATTTATTTTTTTGAAATGTAGAGTTATAGAGAGAAGGGTGAGATAGAGAAACAAGAGTTCTTCTATCTAGTGATTCACTCCCCAAATGACTGCAAAGGCCAGGCTGGGCCAGAAGGAAGCCAGGGGTTTCCTCTTTGTTTCCCTTTTGGGTGTAAGGGCCAAGGGGCTTGGGCCATCTTCTACTGCTTACCCAGGCTCATTATCAGGGAGGTGGATCAGAATTGGAGTAGTTGGACTAGAGCTGGTACCATACAGGATGCTGGCTTAGTCTGCTATGCCACAGCACTGGCCCTGATAGAGGTTCTTGATCTGTGGCTCCCAGCTGCTTATGTTCTAGGATATGGAATTTATATCTCTTACCCCCGCCCCTCTTTACCAACTTATTTTTAGCAACTTTATTGAAATGTACTTTATACATACTATATAGTTCATCTACTTGAGGTATGATGTTGAATGGATTTAGTATTTTCAGAGTTGTGCTTGTATCACCCCAGTCAATTTAGAGTATTTCTCTGAAGTATTTCATGAATATTTTCATGAAGAAGCTCTGTGTACTTAGCCAGCACCCTTCAACTCTTTTCATCATCCTCACCACTAGGCTACCGCTGATCTATCTTCTGTCTATGCTTGGACCTGTCTTGGACATTTTACATAAATAGAATTATTTGTAATCATAACAACTGTCTTTCAGTTTGCATCATGTTTTCAGGGTTTCCCCAATGTTGTTGCATGTGTCAGCACTTTGTTCCTTTTTACTGCTGAGTCATGTTCCATTGTATGGACATATACAGGATACACACTTTGTTATTTGCTCATTAGTTGATGAAAATGGAGTTCTCCTTTTACTGTATTAAAATAGCTACCTTGATAGATACAGTTTTGTGTGGATGTATGCTTTCTGTTCTCTTGGAATTGCTGGGTCAGATGATCACCCATGCTTAACTGTTCCAGAGACTACTAGACTTTTTTTCCAACAAAATTACAGGGGTTCCAGTTTCTTCATGTCCTTATTAGTTCTTGTTATTATCTGCCTTTATTTTTTAAATTTATTTTTCTTAAGAACTTTTATTTAGATTTTTTTTTTTTATTATTTTTTCATTGGAAAGGCAGATATACACAGAGGAGAGACAGAGAGGAAGATCTTCCGTCCCATGATTCACTCCCCAAGTGAGCCGCAACAGCCGATGCTATGCCGATCCGAGGCCAGGAGCCTCTTCCGGGTCTCCCACCCAGGTGCAGGGTCCCAAAGCTTTGGGCCATCCTCGACTGCTTTCCCGGGCCACAGGCAGGGAACTGGATCGGAAGCGGGGCCGCCGGGATTAGAACCGGCGCCCATATGGGATCCCGGGCGTGCAAGGCGAGGACCTTAACCACTTGCGCCACTGTGCCGGGCCCATTATCTGCCTTTATTATTTTACTTTCCTAGCAATCATTAAATCATATCTCATTATCATCACCATTGCACTGAAAGACTTCTTTTTTTACTATGGGAATTTTCAAACATGAAAGAAAAAGAGTTTCTTTTTCATCTTTATTTTTGCTGAAATATTTTAGAGGCAATCTCAGACTTCTGTGTCTCACCCATAACTATTACCAGTATACATTGCTTAACAGATTTTTAAAAAAAAATTTTTACTGATGTGTAACCATGTGGACCACTGATCAGGTTGGGGAAGGTCGAGGTATGGAGGAAGACAGATGAGACAAATGGTTTTTTTTCCTCCTGTGTTCTCAGGAGAGATGGAAGGCCCCCTTCCCTTGCTATCAAACCACATCAGCCCTTGGCAGTGGAGACCTCCAGTGTGGGGAAGAATGTTCTGAAGGTGCTGCTTGATGAGTGGTGTCAGTAGCTGAAACATTGTCGGCTTAGTTGCGCCAGGGTTGAGAAAATGCCTTTAAGTGCCTTTTGAGAAGAGCCACAGTACTCAGATTTCCTTTACTGTCTGAAAGGCGTCTTTCCCCAGTTGAGTCGTTTAAGATGCTAACAGGATGAGTGTGCTTGGTGATTATGACTCTTAAGTCATTTTTGTTGTATAACTGTTCCCTTTCCTTTTTTTGTTCTGTAGAATTCTGCAGATCTGGATTTGTTTGATTATATCTCCAAATTTTTACTCACCATGTTCCTTTATCTCTCTTACTTCCTTTAGACTGATAATAGCAGCTGGTAGTTTGAGATTTAAATTGAATTTCCCCTCCTTGAGTGGACAATTGGTATTTTATCGCACTTTTCACTCCTGTTTGTATTCAATAGTGGATTCAAGTGTTATCACCTTTTTTTCAAGTATGCTTTCCTGTCCACTTTTTATCCAATGTTTTCAGCAGTAAATAATGATCATTATTTTATCAGGACAAGCACAGTGATGATTTTCTAATGGTATCAGGCCTTCAGAATTTATTAGCTGTAATTTGTCTATGAAAAGAACTTTTTGTTTGCCAGCCTTTTTTTTTCACTTGGCATATAGTCTGTATAAGAAAAACATTCTTTTTATCAGTTTTCAGAATAATGAGCTGTGGCCTCAGCAACTTCTCAAGGTGACCAAAGAGTTATTTTTGAAACAGGCTATTGGGCCTGGCGCAATAGCATAGTGGTTAAAGTCCTCGCCTTGCACATGCCAGGATCCCATATGAGCGCTGATTCTAATCCAGCCAGCCCCACTTCCCATCCAGCTCCCTGCTTGTGGCCTGGGAAAGCAGTCGAGGATGGCCCAAAGCCTTGGGACCCTGCACCTGGGTGGGAGACCCAGAAAAGCCCCTGGCTTTGGATTGGCACAGCTCCAGCTGTGGCGGCCGCTAGGGGAGTGAACCACTGGACAGAAGATCTTCCTGTCTATCTCTCCTCCTCACTATATATCAGCCTTTCCAATAAAAATAAATAAATCTTTTTTTTTTTAAAAAAACCAGGCTGTTCTTGCGAATGTGTGGATTTTGATATATTTGATGTACTTTTCACAAGTTGCAGTCATTGATGCTAAAATGAACTCACCTGTGGTTAGTAAGAACTTTATTTCTTCTTTTCTATTGGAATTGTATCTGAAATTCATGACATCCGTTCTTTTTCTTTTTAATTTTCATGATATAGTTCCATAGGCACAGGGACTCCCCCTTTGACCACGCCACTCCCTACCTCACTGTATTTCCCCATATCATTACAATAGTATGGTCTTTCAGCAACAGTCACTAGTCCAACATTCTGCTATTTAAGTGTGTAATGGCATTGTAGGTTTAGGCAATGGTAGGAAATCTAGTACCCTATTGTCAAGATATATTTAACAGCTTCATTGAAAGTCCTCTTTTTATTTGGGAGTAGAGATGCATACTGCAACGTATCTTCACTTCCCTGTGTGCCGGCTTCCACTATATAGTTCCTCTAGATGAATATATATACATAATGTGTTTGCCTATACATCTGTTGATCTTGTATTTTAATGTAAGTTGCTTTATATCAGAGAGAATGTAAGATAATTGTCTTTTTGAGATTGGTTTATTTCACTGAGCATAATAGTCTCTATTTGGGACCTTTTGTTGCAAATAGTAGAATCTCTCTGTTTTTTTTTTTTAAGATTTATTTATTTATTGGAAAGTCAGATATACAGAGAGGAGGAGAGACAGAGAGGAAGATCTTCCGTCCCATGATTCACTCCCCAAGTGAGTGCAACGGCTGATGCTATGCGGATCTGAAGCCAGGATCCAGAAACTTCTTCCGGGTCTTCCACGCGGGTGCAGGGTCCCAAAGCATTGGGCCATCCTTGACTGCTTTCCCAGGCCACAAGCAGGGAGCTGGATGGGAAGTGGGGCTGCTGGGGTCAGAACCAGCGCCCATATGGGATCCCGGTGCTTTCAAGGGGAGGACTTTAGCTGCTAGGCCATGCTGCCGGGCCCGCAAATGCTAGAATTTCATTCTTTTTAATTGCTGTGTAGTGTTGTATGGAGTAGATATACCACAGTTTCTTTATTCATTCCTGTTTTGATGGGTCTGGGTTGTTTCCATGTCTTCAGTATTGTAGATTGTGCTGCTATTAAATTAGGGTTACTGGTCATTTTCTCATGCAATTTTACTTCCTGTGGATGTATTCCCAGAAGTAGGATAGCTGGGTCAAATGGTAGATCTATTTTTAGTTGTCTGAGCACTCTCCCTACTGACTTCCATAGGGCTGCACTAGCTGACATTCCCACCAACAGGGAAGGAGGGTTCCTTTCTCCCAACATCTGTGCCAACAGGTGTTGTTAGTGAGTTTTTGGATGTAGGCCAGTCTTATTGGAATTTGGTGGAACCTCAATTTGGTTTTTATTTGTATTTCCGTAATAGCTAGTGAGCCTTAGCAATTTTTATATATTTATTTGCCATTTTAATTTGTTCTTTTGAAAAATGCTTGCTCATTTCTTCACAGGGCTGTTTGTTTTGCTATTGCTGAGTTTCTGAAGCTCTTTATAAATGCTGGGTATTAGCTTGCTATTTGTTGTGTAGTGTGCAAAGATTTTCTCCTATTCTGTTGTTTCTTTGCTTTGTTGATAGTTTTCTTTGCTATTCAGAACTTTTTAGTTTAATATAGTCCCATTTGCTTATTTTGGCTTTAACTCTGCTTTATTGCGGCTTTTTCAAGAAGTCTTTACCAATGCCTGTATCTTGTAGAGTGCTTCCTACATTTTCCTCTAATAGTTTGCAGGTTTATGGGTGTAGATTTAGGTCCAGTTCCATTTAGAGCTAATGAGAAGTAGGGCTCTTGCTTCTTCCTTCTGCAGGCTGCTATCTGCTTGTCCCAACAGCATTTGTTGAGGAGACCAACCTTTTTCCCTGGATTATTTTCAATTCTCTTGTCAAAGATTAGTAGGCTGAACATGTGTAGACTTACTTCTGGGGCTTCTGTTCTGTTCCACTGCTCTTTGTTTCTGTACCAGTACCAGATTATTTTGATGACAGTACCCTGTGGTGTATCTTGATGTCTGGAATTGTTATTCCTGCAACTTGATTTTTATTCCTCAGGATAGCTTTGGTTATTGATGATCTCTTGTGTTTCCAGATGAATTTTCCTATTATCTTTTCTATTTCTGAGAAGAATGTTGTTGGAATTTTGTTTGGGATCACATTGACTCTGTATATTACTTTTAGTAATATGGATATTTAGGAGCATGGTAAATTTCTCCATTTTTGAGGTCATCTTCTGTCTTTTAATGTTTTATAATTTTTATCATAGAGGTCTTCCATGTCTTTGATTAGTTTTACTCCAAGGGATTTAATATTCTTTGCTATTTTAAAGGGACTGTACTTACAAGTTCTTTCTCAGTCACAGAGCTATTTGTGTATACTAGGGCCATTGACTTATGTTCATTTATTTTGTAGCCTGCTACTCTGCCAATCTCTTATGAGCTGCGGTAGTCTGTTCATTGAGTCTTTTGGCTTTCCAGTCCCAAAAGGAGAGATATCATGTACTCTCTCTAAAATAAAGCAACTTTTATGCAATCATGTCATCTGCAAACAGGGATAATTTTAATTCCTTGTTTCTGATTTGAATTCCTTCAGTGTCTTTCTCTTGCCTAGTAGCTCTGGAGATGAGTTCCAGTGCTGTGTTGAATAGCAGTGGTGAGAGTGGATATTCTTGTTTAGTTCTAGATCTTAGTGGAAAAGCATCTAGTCTTAATTTGTTTAGTATGAGAGTGACATTGGGTTTTTCATATATTGTTTTGATTGTGTTGTAGAATGTTCCTTCCTTGCCTATCTTGCTCAGGGTTTTTAGCATGAAGTGGTGTTGGATTATAACTGCTTTCTGTGTATCTGTTGAGATGATCATATGGTATTTATTTTTCAGTTTGTTGATGCGGCACATCACATTGATTTGTGTGTGTTGAATTATCCCTGCGTGCCTGGTATAAATCTTGTGTGGCTTGGATGAATGATATGTCTGTTGTACTGATGCAATCTATTGGCTAATAATTTGTGAAGATTTTTGTGTCTGTGTTCATCAGGAATATTGGTCTGTAGTTCTCTTTTCTCTGTTGTGTCTTTATCTAGCCTTGGTATTAGGATGATGTTGGTTTCTTAGAAAGAATTTGGAAGGAGTCCTTTCTTTTCTGTTGTTTTGAATACCTTGTAGAGAGGATTGGTGTAAACTGGGTTACACATGAAAATGTATTTATGGGCCCAACGCGATAGCATAGTGGTTAAAGTCCTCACCTTGCATGCACTGGGATCCCATATGGGCACTGGTTCTAATCCCGGTGGCCCCACTTCCCATCCAGCTCCCTGCTTGTGGCCTGAGAAAAGCAGTCGAGGCTGACTCAAAGCATTGGGACCCTGCTCTAGTCGTTGCGGCCACTAGGGGAGTGAACCATTGGAGAGAAGATCTTCTGTCTCTTCTCCTCTCTGTATGTTTGCCTTTCCAAGAAAATAAATCTTTAAACAATGTATTTATGCCAAAAATGTGTATTTTGGATTTAGCTGCTTGAAAAGCCCTTTCCCATGAGCTGTCTTGGGTATATCATCATTGACTTTATTGGAAATTGTTGCTTTAAGGTTCATCTCACTCAGCAGCTAGAGTGACCATTTAAAAACTGTAATCCAGTCATATCCCTGTCCTGTTTGGAAATTCCTTCCCATGATTTATAAACTTCATTCTCACAGTACTTAAAACCTGCTCTTGAACTCAGTGGGTGCTCATGTGTCATTCATGACTCATGACTCATTCATTAGCATTTTAGAGAAGTTTTGGTTTGTCTTGAATCTGACAGCTTAGCCATCCAGTGGCAGAGTCGGGGTGAGAACTTAGCTGGCCAATGTTTCATCTTTCCAGTTCTGCTCTGAACCAAGCTCTTCTCACCGTCTTCCAGCTTTGTTTCCTTTGTATGCCATTCTCTCTCTCTCTCTCTGTCTCTCTCACACTTTTCTTAATTGTGCACATCCCCAAGACTTATACTTAATTCTCCTTTTTATAGAATATTTTCTTATGCCTCCAGTATCCATAATTGTGCCTGTGGTGGGATTAGGGCGGCTGGTTCACAGGGGAGGAAGCTCCAGAGGAGACCCGATTTGCTTAGTGCTTATTCACACTTGGATAATAAACAGATTGACTTACTTCTCCCTCGACCTTGTGAAGGATGAACTTAAAGATGACAAAACTGAAGGCTCAGCGAGGTTTCCAATTCTATCACCTAAACGGGGACAACTATACATTACCGCAGGAAAATTCAGGGCGCCATAAAATTTTGTGAAGCCCAGCCTTCAGCATTTGCCTGGCAGAGCTGGACCAATGCCTGGGTGCCCTTGGGCAGAGAAGCCTTACTCCTGTCCTGCATTAGGCTAGTGCATAATGGGTAATCTGGCCTGTTTGTCAGGGACACGCAGGGAGAGCAGCAACAGGGTGTTCTTCTGTAAAGTCAAAAAAAAAAAGGGACTGTGAACATTAAACCTTTTTATGTATAACTGTGTTACCCCCTTCTCTACTTGTTCTCTTATTATACATGTGTTTTTTTTCCCCCCTTTCTGCTTCTAGTATTCTAGTCAAGAAGAAAACCAGAGGAAGCCATTGCCTACTGCTGCTGCCCAGTGCTGTAAGTGAGAAATTTGTCCATGAGTCTGTCGTGATTACAGCTTTCTGTCCTCCTCCAAATGTGGCTTCTTCATGGGGTGGGTAGAGCTGTAGAGTGGGGTGATGGAAGGTCTCCCCCAAGCACTGCTGTCCTGGCATGTCCCTCTAGTGGCTGTTTGCCTCTTGGCTTCAGGCAAATATTTTTTGCTGTTGTGTGCTGTAGTTAGGCCGACATACCCATATGCTTTCTCTAGTTGCTTGCCTTTAGCCACTATTAGCTGTTGCTTACTGTTCTTTCTGATTTAGTTTGATACTCACGTTTCCTGAGACATTCTCCTGTTCTTCCCTGCTTCCCTATGAATAACATAGGTACTTTTGTGTGATGTTACCATGTTCCATACATCCAACTCATCATATAATTTTTATGCTATAATCTGCATATATTCATTTAACAAGGATACAAGGTTTTAAAAGGCATAGACTCCCCCCACTCTTTTTATACCCCTCACATTTGGCTAAACACCTGCATTAGTAACCCCCCAATGAAGTTTGATAAGTGATTAACTGACAGAGAATACTAGTCATTTTTCCTAATATTAATTTGCTTAGGTCACACAGGTTTCTTCTTGATTTAAGTTATGTATTGTTGGTGTCTTGATACCTTGTCAGTTCCCTTCATGACAGCTTGAGACAGTGAAGGATCAACACAGAGCCAGTTCTTCATTTTTCAGTCTGTAATTTTTTTAGCCTATAGAAAAGAGGAGAGAGAGAGAGAGAGAGAGAGAGAGAGAGAGAGAGAGAGAGAAAGCTGGTTCACTCTGCAAATGGCTGCATTGGGCTGGACCTGACTGAATCTAAAACCAGGAGGTGGGAGTATCTCCTGATCCCAAGGCTTTGGCCCATCCTGCACTGCTTTCCCAGGCCACAAACAGGGAGCTGGAAGGAAAGTGGTGCAGCTGGGACATAAACTTGTGCTCCTATGAGATCCTGGTACATGCAACGCAAGGATTTAGTCACTAGGCCATTTACCATTGGGCCCATCATTTTTTTGGGGGGGGGCGGTCCTTTTGATCCTTCAGTAGGATCCAATTAAGGTTCCTATGTTGCATTTGTATGTGCTATGAGTTAAAGATTTTCTTTTTGTCTGTGAATAGGTAGTTGTCCCAGTGTTTGTAGCTTAAAAGGTTCCTTTTTCCTGTTAAATTGCCTTTGCATCATTGTTAAAATCATCCTCAGTTCCACTGCATTATCTTGTTCTTTCCTTTCAGTTTTTTTTTTTTTTTAGTAGATTAGACTTTTTATCTTCAAATTAGACACTGAATATACTTCCAGGTTTTGTTTCTCATGTTTAGCCTGAACTGGGGTTGGTAGCAGAACAAGATATGTATGCTGCTTTTATTCTTACTTTTTTTCAAGTCCCCCACATCTGTCACCCCCATTTGAAAAGACCGAGAAAGAGTGATTTTCCATTCACTGGTTCACTTGGTAGGCCCTGCTAGAGCTAGGAACTCCATCCTGAAACAGAGTAGCTGAGCCTCAACCCAGGCACTGTGGTGGGGGTGCATGTGTGCCAAGTGGCGACTTAACCTGCTGCACCACGGAGCCTGCCCCCACAGTGCATCTCTTAGGAAACATTCTCAGATTTGTATTTTCAGGACTGTTGCCAATTCTTATCTGTGTTCTCTGTCCACCCACTATATTGATGACAGTGTCACTGGCTGCCATTGAGAAATGAATCAAAAGTGATTCAGCACCTGGCAAGGATTGGGTGAGATGAGTAGGCACATATTCTGCCAGGATGTGTAAATGAGTACAACCTTTCTAACTCTGTGACTTCACTTCTAGGAACTGTTCAAGAAAAATAACTGCAAATGTAAAGAAGGGTTTATGTGTGTTGTTTATAATGGTAGCAAATTGCCCAAAAAGAAGAGTGGATAATTGTGATATGTTTCTGTTTTTTTTTTTTTTTAAGATTTATTTTGTTTTTATTGGATAGTCAGATTTACAGAGGGGAGGAGAGACAGAGAGAGAGATCTTCCGTCTGCTGGTTCACTCCCCAAGTGGCCACAATGGCTAGAGCTGAGCTGATCCAAAGCCAAGAGCCAAGAGCCTTTTCCAGGTCTCCCATGCAGGTGCACAGTCCCAAGATTGTGGGCCATTCTCTACTGCTTTCCCAGGCCACAAGCAGGGAGCTCGAAGGGAAGTGGAGCAGCCAGGGTATGAACCAGCACTCATGGGATTCTGGCACATGCAAGGCAAGGACTTTAACAACAGGCTACTGGGCCAGGCCCAATTGTGACATTTTCATTAATGAAATTAATGTGTTTTAAAATTATTTTTCAAGATATAAGAAGTATTTATGTGTGTAAGTTTTCAAAAGTAGGAGCCTAAGCTAATTAAGATGATCTGTTATTAAAAATAAATTACGTATACACATGTATATAGAAAAATGAAAGAAACAGATAATTTTAGTTATTTAAAGGTTTTTTTTATTTGGGGAGAAGAGTCATAGAAGGAAAAAGGGGGGAGAGGTTCCTGCAAGATAGAGATACAGTAAGAGAGGGAGAAAAAGAATTCTTTCATCTGCTGATTTACTCTCCAAATGGCCTCAACAGCTGTGGCTAGGTCAGGCTGAAGGCAGGAGCTAGGAACTTCTTCTGGACCTTTTATGGGGGTGGAGGGACCCAAGCACAGGGGCCATATTATAATGCTTTCCATGCACTTTACTAGGCATCTGTATCAGAAATGGAACAGGCAAGACTTGAACTGGTATCCACATGGGATGCTGATGCTATGTCATTTTACCTGCTGTGCTACAATGCTGGCCCCAAGAAATGCATACTTGTTTTTTTCTTTTGTAAAGATTCTATTTTTTCTTTTTTGTATTGGAAAGGCAGATATACAGAGAGGAAGAGAGACAGAGAGGAAGATCTTCCATTCAATGATTCACTCCCCAAGTGGCTGCAATGGCTGGACCTGAGCCAATCTGAAGCCAGGAGCTTCTTCTGGGTCTCCCACGCTGGTGCAGGGTCCCAAAGCTTTGGACCATCCTCAACTAGTTTCCCAGGCCATAAACAGGGAGCTAGATGGGAAGCGGGGGCTGCCAGGATTAGAACTGGCGCCCATATGGGATCCTGGCGTGTTCAAGGTGAGGATTTTAACCACTACGCTATTGTGCTGAGCCCTATTGTTTTTTTTTTAAAGATTTATTTATTATTTTAAAAATTCTTTTATTTTGCAATCTTCGCATAGAATCAGGAAGGGAGAGGGCAAACCTGGTAGGGGGAATTTGGAGGGCTCCCCTGTTGGATAGCCACTCCAACTGGAGAGTGTGAGTTGGGATGGGGGCAGACCAGACCCGGCAGGAGACCCTGATGTGTGAAAAAAATATTTTCAGGGTGTTAACTTGAGTGGTTTTGATGGTTTTGATGGTTCTGAGACATTGTTGGTGTTGTTGTACCAGGGTTGAAAAAAATCTTTCCACAGTTTATTGACTGACCATGTCCACCTCAGCGCATCCACAGACCTAGACACTTGGTGCAAAGCTTGGCTAGGAGAGTGGTCCAACCTTTTCTGCTTTCCATCCTCTGACAAGGCACTCAGTGTCCTCTGCTGGCCTAGACCATCTGGCTGTCATGTTCCTCATGCGCATCTAGGGATGCTTTCCACTGCACAGGGTTCAGCAACTGAGGAAGCCCAGCCCAGATTCATGTACTCAGGGTCAGATCATGTATATTGTGATTTTCTCTGAGACCTGGGTTTGAGTCCAGCCATCCAACTGGGGAGACTCAGCCCATCCCACCCCTAGACTTAGCCCATACGTATGCCAATGGGTGCTATTTCCTTGTCCAGCCTTATTCTTCCCCAGCCCTGGTTCTCATGCTCACCAGTAGGAGCTACAGCCCAGCAGGGGAATGCTCACAGTTTCCCTACTGGGACCAGTTCTGGACACTGCATCTGCCAGGGAATACTGCACTTCAGCCTGACATGCATTGCATTGAGTCCTGACACTTGCCAGTGGGTGCTGTGGCCTATCCCAGCCTGGCCTGCTCCCAGTCAGATCTACTCCCAATCTCAGCTCTTACACTTACCAGTGGAAACAGCATCCCAGTAAGGAAGTCCCCAAAGTTCCCTTCCAGACCTGCTTCCAGCTTTGGGGTCCTGTATGTGCTGGTGGGTGATGTGACCCAGTGTGTGATGGCCTGCTCCCAGTGTTAGAATTTGCCAGCAGATGCTACAGCCTGGCTCAGCCTTACCCACTCCCAGTCCCAGCGTTCACTGATAGGTGGAACAGCTTAGTGCATCCTGGATCTCCCCCAGCCCTCATGTGAACTGGTGGGTGTTGCAGTCTAGCTGCCCTGGCCTGCATCCTGTCCTGGCTCTCACTTAAGCCAGTGTGTCCTGCAGCCCAGCCTACCCCCATACCAAGCTCATACGTATGTTGGTGAGTGCTATAGCCCAGCCTAGCCTGCTCCTAACCCAGGCTCTCACGCTCAGCAACAGGAGCTGCAGGCTAGCAACACAGTTCCCCCAATTCCCCTACCAGGTCCACTCACAGACCCAGATTTCACATGTGCTGGATGGGTGCTGCTACCCAGTCTGATCTGGCTGGCTTTCAGTCCTGGCACTCACCAGTGGTTACTCCTGTCTAGCCCAACTTCCCATACCCATTCTGGCTCTTGACAGTGGGTACTAAAGCTTAGCATAGTCTAGCTTACTCCCTGACCTAGCTGTCATGTGACTTGGTGCACCACCTCCCAGCTAGGCAGGGCCAATACCTTGTCTTGGCTCTTGTGTGTGTCACTGGGTGCTACAGCCTGCCCCCAACCTAGCCTGTCCCCAGACATGCTGAGGAGTGCTGCAGTCCTGCCTGACTTGGCCCGCCTTCAGTCTCAGCTGTTATGCTGTCCAGCAGGAGCTGCAGCTTAGCAAGGGAGTTTCCCATGTTTCCCTACCAGGCCTGCTCCCAGCTCTGGATCTCACATATGCCAGTGGGTGCCATAAGTGCTTTGCATGGCCTGC